AGCAGCCGTTAGAGGGCCTGTGCCGCCAGCACCCTTTTCCTGGAACCGACTTTTGACACTGACACCAGGTGAGCCATCTTTTCAGGGTGTATGGGGTCCCAAATGCTCGTCTGCAAAGGAATAAAGAATAAAGGGGAAGCCGTGCACAAAGGACCATTTTAGGAAATCTTTTATTGCAAATGTCATTCTGCATATTGATTTTTGAGAGAAAGTATCAGAAATGCTTCTTTCCTGGGAAAAGGAATACAAAATGACAGCAAGACACATTTTAGTTGCTACGAAAGAACAGCATTGTTTTCAATCATTTTAAATCGCTCATTTAATAAGCAAGGTATAAAACAGATTAAAGGTGTGAGCTTGCAAAAGGGTAATTAAAAAAGTGTTTCCTCCCCAGGAAACAGCGCTGTTTGGTCTGCTCAAATGCCGAAGCTGGGATCTGATTCTGGGTGCCGTCTCTCGCTACTGGAGTGCTGACCAGCAGGCTGCCCATCGCGAAAAGAGGTTGCAAGGCCAGGTCCCCGGGTGTGCTGGGATTTCTGGCTGGCTCTACTTGGGGCCGGAGAAGGGGGAAAAGGCCTTGTCACAGCCTGCCATGCATGCTTCAATCTCTTCCACGGTGCGGGGCACGCAGGTCAGCAGCTCCATGCCGCTGTCAGTCACCACGACGTCCTCCTCGATGCGGACCTGGGTCGAGCCGACAGACACACATTATCTCAGAGCAGCCTCATGTGCCAGGCTAGAGGGCCGGGCCCATTCCAGGCCCACCCCACCATGGGCTGGGAGCAGCTGACACTCCCTGGGAGAGGGAAGTGGCCGCCAGGCTCCTTCATGGAGCCATCTGCTCACGTCACCTGCTCACCCTGTCCTCGCCAGGTGGATGGGAGCCCCTGGAGCAGGAAGGAGTTTTGCAGGATCCCCGTCTGTTCCTACTGAGGGGTGAGGCTCCATCTCGTGACAGACCACACGAAGGGGCAAGCTGAGCCCACCTCAAGGGAAGGCGTCACTAGGGCCCCTGTCTTGGTGGCAGATGTTCTGGGAGCAAGAATGGGGCCCATGGGCACTCACCCCACCAAAACCGCGAAAGCGCTGCAGGACCTCGCGGTTAAAGAAGCAGGCACGGGCCGGGTCCACCAGGGCCTCGTCCAGGAGGTGGTCGATGAAGTAGATGCCCGGCTCCACGGTGAGCACCATGCCTGGCTGCAGGTACCGTGCAGTGCGCAGACTCCGCAGGCCGGGCTCGTCAATACGCTCCGTGCCCTGTGGGGAACAGAGATGAGGGGCCCAATGAGCAGCTCCAGGGCTCACCGTGGCCTCATCAGGAGAGATGGGCACGTGAGGGCTGGCGCCAGTCTCGTGGGCTCTCTTGACCATTGAGGTCCTCAGCCTAGGTTCGCCCCTGCTCTGCTGGGCCATGGGCACCCTGATAAGTTCTTCCACCCTGCACGTACCCCCGGATCTTGAGTGTCCCTGGCCACACTACCCTAGGGCTCGCTTGAGAAGCCCTGTGGCCGCCCATGTGCACACACCCAGTGCGAGATGCCCAGACAGGCCTGCGGGGCTTGCTGAGGGTTGGGCTGCCCTCAGCCGGGCCCTGCTCCTGGCCAGAGGAGTGGCAGATGCCAAACCGCTGAAGCCAAAAAAGCTCTTAAGGCAGCTATGAAGCCTCTTGGGGCCACAGCTTTCCTTCCAGGCAGCCCAAGTGGAAACTGGCCCCAGAAGTCGTGGTCCCAGCTCCCCCAGGCCGAGGCCTAGGTTTTCCGTGTGACTGTCCGGGGAGGACAGGTGCCGTCATCAGGGTGGGTCTGCCAGCCTTAGTGCACCAGTGCACACGTGCCGTGTGCGCATGGCTTGGCGGGTGTGGCTCCCAGAGGAGTGCTCTGGGCCTTACGGCAGGGCCCTGGGAAATAGCCCCCAGCCTTGGAGGACGCCTGAGGAACGGTGGTAGAGCCGCTCCCTGCAGGGACCCTGTCTGCACCCCACACTGCCCCATGCGCACCCAGCCTGGCCTTGTCCACTCACAGGCACAGCTGAGAGGAGCGGGTGCTCGGGGAATTACAGGAGAGCTCCTGCTTGCCCCAGGTCCCCGGGGCACCATCCGGCCGGTGGCCAGGGCCTCTGAGTACGCTTTCTGGTCAGGGTCTGAGCCTGCCCTGCCGGGCTGCACTCCCTCCCCAGGAAGCCCAGCTGCTGGAGCGGGAGCTGTCATTTCTGACTGTTTGGGGGCCAAGAACATCAGACTCCAATTAGCAGTTCACGTAAGGTAACCAGAAACAGGCTGGCCTGGCCTCCACGCTGGGCATGGCCAGAGAGGCTGTGACTGATTCCACGGGGGGCAGGGAGAGCCACGCTGACCTGGAGAGAGCAGGCCGGGCGAGAGGCGATGAGACACCATAGCCTGGCTAGTGTGGCCCCAGCCCCACCACACTTGCCTCTGGGCTGCTGACCGGGAGCTGAGGCTGGAGGGCAGGGATGCCCCGTGGCTGAGGAACCGTATGGAGTGACATTCCCTCTGTGCAAGTGAGAGGTGCATGTGGACTCCGCTGAGGCCTGTCTCCTGCCCAGAAGCTGCTGGGGGTCCCAGGGTCTCTGCTCCAGGACCTTCTCGTCCCTGTCATTCAAAGCCTGCGCTAGGCACCCCCACCCCACCGCCGCCCATCCCTCTCCTTCATGCTACTCCTGAAGTGCCCATCCCTGTCTCTCAACCCCACGGCGGTCGAAGCCAGGGGCCTGGGGGAAGCAAGGGCCTGCCAACGTCAGGTTTCCTTCCTCCCAGTCACCCCTCCATCCCCATGGGCCCACCCCTGACCGCTACACGGTTGGGGGGCAGGTTCGTTTTGCCAGGGAAACGAACTTTCCTCCTCTCTGAAATCTTGAGGTCCACGACTGAAACTGGGGGTGGGTGAAGATTAGAAGGGATCCCCGGCGGGCACAGGGGCAAGGCCTGCCTCAGCCCAGCGATGCAGTAGCCCCTTCGGGGTGCTGGCTCTAGGGGCCTGCCCGGGAGACCTACTGAGAACAGGGTGCGGGCGCGGTCATAAGAGAAGCGGAGGGGCTGGGCATGTGGGGAGGGCACGAGCCCCTGTGGTCCAGGAAGTGCAGCCTTCAGGCGTGGGGAGGGGTCCTGCCCTCACCGTGCCCATGCCCGCCTCTGGGCACAGGGCTTGACAAGGCCATAACTTTTACTGGGCTCCAAGCAGAGGAGCCCCAGATGTGTCTGCAGGCCTGAAATAAAACAAATGACTTTTATAGGAAAAGCCATATTTTTTCCACAATGTTTATCTGTCAGAAGAATAGACTCTGAGCACAAAGAGGTGCTTACTGGAAAAGATGAAAACAGTTTGCTGCCAATTTTTGCTGGTGGAAAAAAAGCGCTTTGGCGACTAATGAATAACGAACCTCAGCTAACAATGTCTGGAAGGCCCAGTTCTTGGCTCCCTGCGCACAATGGGATGAATAGACATTAGGAAATTAAAACTGATTTTGTTTCTCCAAATTTAACTGTTTACACTTGAGGAAAAAAATAATTGAATAATAATGCTTCTCTTAAGCAATTCCCCCCACTGCCCCCACCCTGCCAAAAAATCATTCTTAGTGCTTTCAAAACACCCTGCAGCCAAGAGGCCGGCCTTGTCTTGGCTAACCGGCTGGGGGGCCCCAGGGCGTGCACGATTGCACAATCAGCCCCCTGCATTGGGCAGCCAGCCAAGGGCAGGGACGGGCGCGCCCCGCCCGCCCAGCTGAGAGGCCGTAGCCACCTGCCCAGTTGGGCCTCCCCAAGCCTCACGTACCCGCTGAGTGGTCCTCTGAGGGCTGGGGCAGCCTTGTCTGGAGATGGCCCCCAGCCTCCCTTATCTGCCAAGGGTCCCCAGAATGCCTGGGGATGAGGAGGCTACAGGGTCACAGGTGTGTGGTCCAGGAGCCTGGGAGGCAGAGGGCAAACCAGCAGCAGAGCAGGGCTGCTCCGGGCTTGTGAGGGGCCAGGGCGAGTCACCAGTGGGTGGAGCCTCATCAACTCCCCAAGTCTAAATGAAGCCAGAGGCGGCTGGACGTGAGGGGTGCCACGCAGTTCCATCACAAAGACCTGTCCTTGGCACCACTGTCCTGTGGGGCCCCATGCACCGTATCCTGACTGTGTGCCACCTTCTGGGCAGCTGACACCAGGGCCCAGAGTGCAGACAGCACTGCTTTTATGTCCAGGTCTGTGGAACGCTCATGGATGCATCCCTGCCTTGGCCAGGGCCCCGATCCCCTCCTCTCATGCCCTCCGTGTACCACATGGAGCCAGGGGGTCCATCCCTGCTATCCCAATACACCCCTGCTGCCTCCTAGAGTCCCACCCTGCCCCGGGGGCCAGGCTCAGCGGCAGCTGATGGGCAAGCCACTCTGCCTGCCATGTCCACACTGACTGACCTCTGGGTAGCCTCCCACGTCGTGCACATCAATGCCCAGGAAGTGGCCGAGCCCGTGAGGCATAAACACGGCCCCCAGGTGGGCCTGGACCATGGCGTCCACGCTGCCGCTCAGGATGCCCATGTGGGCCAGCTCCTCCAGGTGGATGCGGTCTGCCAGGCGGTGCATGTCGGGCCACCAGACACCTGCGGGCCAGAGGGAGCTGCCGTGAGCCACAGAGGCCAGCAGCCAACACCACAGGGCCGGGGGCCAGGAGACACGAAGCCCTCACACTGGCTGTGGTGGGAGGGCCTGGGGGGGGGGGTAAGGGACAAGGACTAGGGTGGCCCCCCGTGCTGAGCTTTCCCAGCTAAAGCTCTGGACTGCAGGACCCTTCTTGTGCCTCCATTCTCCCCCTAGGGCAGGTTCCTGTCACCTGTGGCCAGGGGCCCAGCCTGGGTCTACTTTGTAGCCCGTGGCGTGTCCACCCCGAACAGCCTGTGCTTCCGGGCCCAGGGGAACCCAGCCAAATCCCTGGGCACCAGGAGGAGAAACGCGCGTGTCTCCCCAATAGCAGACACTGGGAGACTCCGTGGGCCCTGGCCCTGAGCCTCAGGCCCAAACCCTGGCTCAGAGCTCCGACAGGGTTTTGCTGCTGTGGCGCAGCGGGGAAGCCTGCGGCTGAAAAGAGGGGTCTCTGCACATCCCAGAATGGGGAAGAGCCACCCCCGGAGCTGCTGCAGGGAGCAAAGGTTTCTGGGGAGAAGGTGTGGCTGGCACGGCCCCACGAGCTGGCTGGCAGGGGTCCGGGGCCCCGCCTGCCAACAGCAGCGGCACCATCTCCAGGGGAGCCCAGATGTCCAAGCCCCAGCTTCGAATCCAACTCATCTCTGCCGCATGTGAGTGGGGCGAAGGCCACCATGGAGAGAACTTCCTAAGCACAGAGCTTTGGGGGCCACACAGGCTCTGTGGGGCTCTGGAGCATGGCCCCTAGGAAGGAGGCCCTTGGACAGCCCCCCACGTAGAGTCTCAGCAGCCCAAGGGTGTGCCCGTCCCACCCCCAGACTCTGTGGAATCCCAGCATCAGCCTCTCCTCATGGCAGCTTCCACTGCTGGACTTGGCCTGAGCACCAGACAAGGACCCGAGGCAGGTGAGGCCTGCCCTGACCCCATGGGGGCTGGGTTTGGGCAGGCCATGTTCTGGCAGAGACTGGGGCCCCAGGACACTCTGGCCAGGTGCGTGGCAGGGGGCCCTGATCAATGCGCAGCTCCCTGGCTGGAGAGGGCACCCAGCAATTCCCTGCGGCACCTCCTGGTGAGGTCCAGCCCCCACCAGGCGGAGTGACCTTGGCTCCTAAGGGCCTCCCTGCCAGACCCTGCCTTGGCGCAGAGCCAGAGCCTGCCCTGCATGGCCCGTCACTGCCGATCGCTGCTGTGGGAGGGGCCCAGGAGACCCTGAGCTGACGAGGGCTGGGCTGTGAGACGCAGGATTCTGAACCTCTGTGGCTGGCGGAGGGCAGATGATGGGTTCAGCTGGCAAACAGGGATGAAAGTCCACACTGGGACACTCACTGGGCACAAGTCCCTCATGTTGGGACCCCTTTAGTGCCAGAGTTGGCCACCCCGGTGCTGGATATCAGGCGGGCTGGGGGCACACGGCTTTGGGCAGGCAGTAGGGCTGTTGCCTGCCATTCACAGCGCAGTGCCTCTGCCATGGCTGTGGCCTAAGGGTGGCAGGGGTGGAGACGCTCAGACCTGCCCCCACCCCCTACACAGAGCAGGGATCCTCCTCAGAGCCCAGTTCCCTGCCCCAGCCTCCAAGGGGCTGAGGTGGGGGCAGCCATCCTGGGGTCTGGGGTCTGGCATGGGGGAGAGCCCGGGCAGGCCTGTGGCAACTCTGGTTGCCACTGCCCTGTGTCTGGGGCAGCCCTGGGCGCACACACACCCCTGGCTGGCCCGGCCTGCACCCCTGGGTTTTCTGAAGGGCACAGCATCCCAAAAAAGGAGACCTGAGTAACTGGAGCCCACTTGGCTGCTCCCCCACCTCCGTGAGCCTCTGTCACCTGGGGGCTGGGGACAGCACCCCGGACACCATTCCTCCATTGTGCATGACCAGCCAGCCCTGGTTCCACACTTGATGTTCATTTGTTCCTAGGGTATGCGCCAAGCCTGCCCAGCCTCTGCCGCCGCTCTTCTGAGACCCCAGCCCGCACAATCCCGGCCCACCTTGCCCTTCCTCCCTGCTGCCGCATCCTCCAGAGACCAGGCCACCTTAAGGCACACAGGCCTTTTTACCTCAGGCCCTTTGCTGTGGCCTGTGCCAGGCCTTGGTCTGTGATGCCTCATCCGAGGGGTCTCTGCATAAAAGCTGTCCCCTCTCAGGGGTCAGACCTTCCTGCCTTGCTGTCCCAGGCCTGGCGATTTCTCCTTGCACCGTCCATCCAGCCTGCAGCAGTCCCCTGGACGGATATGCTCGTTTGCTTCTCATGTCTCACTCCGAGGGTCGGGGTCTCCCGAGGGCACCGCTGGGCCCGGCATAAAGTGAGTGCCCCTCAGGTCCCCCGACAGCCTGCAAAGCTGGCACGTGGTGCTGGGAGGCCTCCTGTGCGTGGCTCGTGCCCCAAGCCCAGCTCAACTGCTTCCTCTTGGACGGGCCCTTCTCTGGTCACCAAAGGGGAGCCCCGGGAAGTGCAGCCAGCCTTCCAACCAGGCTAACTTCAGTAGTGGGCTGTGTTCTTGGCCCAGCCTCCGCAGAGGGCGGGAATCAGGTATAAATCATGCTCCGCGGTGGCCCTTCCCGGGGGCAGGCCCGGCGCCGCCCGGACGTGCCGGCCCGGGGGTCCCCTCGGCGCCGCTGGTCTTCCTCGCCTGTGCACCCTCGGGGAAGGCCTTGCACACAACTCTCTTGGCCGGGAGCGGGGAGTTTCTGCCTGTGTGTGGTTAGGGTTGTGACAGTGATTCAACCTCCAGCAACTTGGCCCCAGCGTCTGGCCCGGATGGTGGTTACAACACCCATGGCCTGGGCGGGGGCCCCTGGAGTGTGTGAGGGTCACTGTCCTTGCACTAGGCTGGCAGGGTGGGCACCAACTTGAGGGCTCCCTTGCCGGCCCGGGCCCTCTCAGGCTCCTCCCACCCTGGCAGCCTGGAGATACCGTCAAGCTCTCTAGTCCAGGCTGGAAGGCACCCCCAGCCCCTAGCCAAGCTATAGCCAGATGCCACACTGGGAATCACACAGCAGAAGCTGGGCAGCAGCTGCCCTGCATGCCCCAACCCCCAGCAAGTGCCAAACCTCCTTCTGGCTTTCCAGAGCACCCCTGCACCTGCCCCACCCCTCCTGGAGTCTGCCCAGCTCCCTCTGCCACTGCACAACCCTCGGATGCCTGGGCCATCTCTTTAGAATGAATGGGGCAAACAGCCCCATTTGAAGCCCAGGTTCTCAGCCTGGCCTGGTCTCCAGCCTCTCCCTCACCCACTCCTGGGAGGGGCAGCCAGACCAAGGCCATGGGTCCCAAGAACTGGCCCTCCCCACCTGCTGTTTCCTTAGCTGGGGCCACCTCCTCCGAGCCCCTTTTCCCAGACGTGCTCCTATTCCTCCGGTGGGCCTGTGTTGAGGCTCCTCCTCCAGGAAGCCCACTCTGATTGCCCCTTCCTGTGCTTTGAGAGTTCATGGCACACACAGCACAGCTGGGCCTGGTTATGACCTCTGGGCCTTGCAAGGGCGGTGCCCGTACCCTGCTGTCTGCCTGGCATGCAGCAGGTGCTTGGTAAACTCCTGGAACGAGGGGAGCCCCAGCCTCCCTCATGGCTCTCTTGCAGCCAGTGTTGTGCCCCATCCCCCACTCCTCTGTGTACTCAGACCCTAGAATGGGCAGGGCAGCCTCTAGGTTAGTGTCCCATCATGGCCCCGTGAAATGACAGGGCTCAGAGGAACAAGCCCCGCTGCTCCCGCCGCCCAGTCCCCAAGTGTGGCCAGAGCGGCCCCTGGGTGGTCTTCTGAGTCCACTTGGTCTCCCCAGGCAGCACCCGCTCCTGCTGGGCCTAGGGCCCAGGCCAGCTCCTTGGAGCCTCAAAGCATCCATCACAGCCCCGAGGCCTCCTACCCGGAGTGTGACAGCCCCAGGGGCTCCGGGGCCTGACCCAGCTACAAAGGCAGCGTCCTCAGAGCTGCTTCCAGACAAAGAGCGCGCTTCATTTGTGGAACACGGCCCTCGGGATGGATGGGAGTGAGCCAGGCTCTGGGGGTGCAGGACAGCAGGCTCTGGCCGGGGTCCCAGGGCAGGCCCTGAGGGCTGGCTGAGCTGGCATGGGGCTGAGGACTTCCAGCTCACCCCACCCTGCATGGGATGTGGGTAGAACCCAGTCTGCTGCCAGAACTTCTGGGGGCCCGCGCGCCCTGTGCGAGAGCGGGTGCTGTGTTGGCCCAGGCTGCTCCTTGAGTCTCCTCCCCCACGCCCTGGCAGAGTGCCCCAAGGAGTAAGAAGAGGCCAGGGAACTGGCTCACCGTTGTGGCCGGCAGGAGGGGTGGACATGGTGCCCACACTGAAGACAGCCCTCCCCGTCCTGGCGCCTGCCACAGAGGGTATCTGTGGCTGGGGTGGCACGTGGCTGCCATGCCTGTCTGCCTGAGCCCTGCACTCTATGCCGTCTCGGAGGATGAGGCCTGACCGGAAGTCTAGCGGCTGGGCCCCTGCCCCTGGCGCTGGCTGGGAGGGGAGCAAAGCTGGTAGAGGTGCCCCTGACCACGGGGCCACAGGAGACATATGCCAGGTGGGCCGGGGCCAGTGCTGCTGGGTCCCTGCCAGTCACCTGGTCACCCCATGCCTCAGTGTCCCCCTCTCACCCTGTCAGGCCTGTTTTGCAGGCGGGGGCACTTCCTGTCACTTCTTTCCCCTCCTCTGACATCAGCAGCACCCCGTCAGTCACAAGTGGCCAGGACCCTGAGGGCAGGGACAGAGCCAGGAGTGGGGGACGAAACACAATCGTGGGCCACCACTGCTGTTCCAGGTTGATAGGAGCTGGGCCCCCAGTGACAGGGGCACAAGAAGCTCCTGGGTGAGCACGGGAAAGAGGAGAGGAAGGCGGGGAAGCCAAGGAGGGCAGGTGGGCGAGGAGGAGAGGGAGCTGGGTAGGGGCTGGGAGGTGAGGCTGCAGGAGTCTTACAGGCAGAGGGTGTGGGGCCCTCAGTGCTGGGGTCCTCTGGAGCTCCAGGGTGGCTGCAGGGACTGAGCCCATGGGATGGGGACAGCTGTGCTGCTTCTAGGTACAGCATTCCTGCTGTGGCTGTGCCAATGCAGACCCTCGCTCAGGGCCACCCTGCCGGGCTCACCCATCCGTCCTAGCAGTGCTTCCCCCTGTTCCCCTCACCATGCATGCAGGGGTCTGCATGGGGAGAGCAGCCTGCCCCAACATAGGAGGCGCGCTGAGTTTGGATCCCATCCAGCCTCCCGTGCATGGCACTCCCCAAGGTCCTGCAGCTGCCGGGCCTGGCCTGCCACTCGCCTATGGACTCCCAGCAGCTGGGTAGTGTTCCGGTCTGAGCGAGTGCAGCCTCCTTCTTCACTGACTGTGAGTGACAGTGAGGAATGCTCCCCCTCCGGCCCTAGGATCGGGGGCCAAGGCCTGCATTCCTCAACTCCCCAGCGTCCTGATCGTTCTTTCCTGCCTCTCCTTTGGGCTTAGCTATGGGGTTTCCTGCTTTATTTACTCTCCCTGGAAGGTCACAGGATGCAGTCGGGCAGTCTCGGTGGGGTGTTTGTCTTGGCCCAGGAATTGAACCCACAAACCCAGGGCATTTCCGCCGGGACGGGGCAGGGGGCTGACCTGGTCACGGCCTCCTTGATGCTACGGGAGGTGACCTGCCCCATCCGGAGGGCAGCTCTGTGGGCCCAGGGCCTGCCCCACGGGCCATCACTGTGTGTGATCCAGATGGAGTCCGACTCTGCCCTTGGGGGACATCAGTGTCACACAGCTCAGTGCGGGTGGTAGGTGTGGGGGTGCCTGCTGGGGATCTGCTCCATTCCCTTACACAGGGATCCTCCAGACCCTAGGCTGGGTCTGGGCAGTGAAGCCCAGTGGTGGGCGGGAGTGGAGCTGGGCGAGGACCTGCCTCCCATGGTCTGAGACGAGCCTAGCTGGGCTTGGCCTGGTGGCCCAGACACCCCTGCCAGGCCTGAGGCCTGTGCCTGCCCCAAGAGTCAGCATGAATCAGGCAGCACCACGGGACGGGAGACCGAGCTCAGGCCTTTCTCAGTGCCACGTGGGGCTTGGGGACTTGCCCACGCGCCTGGCCACTTTCTGGACAGACGTGGGGCTGCTGAGTTGGGCCACTGAGCTGGCCAGGATGCCAGCTGTGGCGATGTCATCCAGGTCCTGCCCAGGCCGCAGCAGGCATTCCTGCAGGTGAGGCCAGCCAGGGCGGGGCCATCCCCGGTCTCGGCACAGGACCGAGGGGGAAGACAATGGCTTTCCCACCAAACACCCCCCGGGCCTCGGCCCCCCCGTGCTGTGTCAATCCGCCGTCCTGCTCCCCGCGGCCTGGTGCTGCCTCTGGCTCCCTGATGGGCCCAGCACTGCCCGCTGACCATGCTGAGCTCATCAGCCTGATGCTTGGGTGTCCAGGGTTGCTGGGCTCGGTGGGCCCCTGCCCCTCACACCTCTGCTTCACCACTGGGAGCCTCAGCCCCTTGCAGCCTGGGGCTCTGACTTCCTGGACATCTGGATTTCACAACTGCTCGTGGATGTCTGACACTACTACTTGATGTGATGGTGACACAGTCTGCAATGACACAGCCCACCTTGGCACGGCTACAGAGTGGGAGGCCAGCCCTGTACGTGGAGGGTGTCTGAGAGACTCCGGTCCACCTGAGAGGCTGTGCCTGGCGGAGGGCCCTCCGCGGAGGGTAGAGGAGTGTGCTCACAGGTACCAGGTGAATACACTGCAGGCCAAGCTCACCTGCCAAATCCTCCTGCTGGATCTGAAACACTGATCATTCATTCAAGTGACTACTGGTATTCAAAACTGAGCAAGAAATTCTCATGCCCAGAGTGAGGGAAGGAGGAGTGGCGCCCCTCGGGCAACTGCTTCGTGGAGGCTGGATTTGACAGCTAACGGGGGATGCTTCCTATGGCCGAAGAGTCAGAAAGAAGAAGAAGGGATACAGCGAGCACTCTGCCCCGTCCCTTCCTGCACCTCCTTTGTGGTTCTCACAGGCGCACGGGAATTCACGCTGTCACTCCCTCTTCCTTTTACCCACAAGGGCCCGCTGGCCACGCCGTCTGGCGCTCTTCTGTCCTCACCACCCATCTGCCTGGAGACACCTGTATATTCATATTCAGGGGTGGCAGCTCCTTTTTTTTGGTTTTTTGAGACAGGGTCTCACTCCATCACCCAAGCTGGAGTGCAGTGGTGCGATCTTGGCTCACTGCCACCTCCGCCTCCCAGGCTCAAGCGATTCGATTCTCGTGCCTCAGCCTCCTGAGTAGCTGGGATTACAGGCGTGAGCCATCACGCCCAGCTCATTGGTGTAATTTGAGTAGAGACAGGGTTTCTCCATGTTGCCCATGCTGGTCTTCAACTCCCGACCTCAAGTGATCCGCCTGCCTCCCAAGTGCTGGGATTACAAGTGTGAGCCACTCAGCCCGGCCTGCTGCTTTTTAAGCAAAGCAATTCTGCACAAAATGCTGTTTTCCTTGGTAGCCGCTAAACCAAGTGAGTCCGATCAGCGCTGTCGCCCCATCACAAGCTTATTGACTTTTGGATTTTCTGTCTCGTCTTCCTTCTGGGATGTATCTGGGGTCCACCTGCTTGCACTCATGCGTTTGTCATGCTCTGTTCCTGCTGGATGCGTGAGGGTGTGGGGCTGGGGCCTGGCACCGCCCCCCGCGTCTCTCCGTGGCTCCTCAGCCTCTGGCAGGGGCTCTCTAGCCTGGACTGGACACCATCTGGAAAGGCTTGCCCACAGTCTGCCTCCTCTGAAAGCAACGGTGGCTGGGGGCCCCTCTGAAGCAGCACTTGGGCCAGCGATCAAGGCTGCAACTCATCCCAGCAATGGGCTGTGGAGCCATAGGAACTGTTTAGTCGATTGCCAAGCCATTGAGTTCTGAGGCCACATTCTGGAGGCTCCAGATCTTTCTTTCCTCCTTTTTCCTTGAACACTGAGGGCACACTGGGCAGCTGCCAGCTCTCTGTGGGTCCTTAACAGAGGGCACTCCATGTCTAACCAGATGCCACAGCCCAGAGTTGGCCAGGCCCACCGGACTCTGCTTTAGGAGAGCAGGGGTCTATCCTTGGTCTGTTTGGGGCTTAAGTAAGGTACCTGGCCAGCAGGCAGCAGAGCTGGGGCTGGGCTCGGGGCACTCTGGGTCTGGGGCCTGCATCCTGGACTCTGCAGCTTTGCTCTACTGGGCTGTCCCCTCTGCCCGCGTTGAGCCCACGTGGCTCCTGAAGGACACCTGAGCTCCCCTACACAGGCGCCTGCCTTGGGCCTGCCTGTCTCTCTGGAGGTCTGTATAGTTGTGGGTGGGAAGCAGTGGATGAGGGTGGGGGCAAGCTGGGGGGCTGGACTATGACCTGGGCTTGGCCAACATGAGGTGATCTCTGACCATGACCCAGATGGAGGGACTCCAGGCTGCAGAAGGTGGCTGCAACCTGTGTGCTGAGGCGGGCCCTGGCCAGACGATCCAGCTGTGAGTGCAGGGCCATTGTCCTAGGCTGCTGCGGCCCTGGCCCCAGCTCTGTCCTGATTTTCCACCTCTGTGAATTTGTGGCAGCACCAAATGACCAAATTGGCTGCGGACTGTTCTGTAGATCATAACCAAAGATGCAGAGCCTGAGTGCCTTGGGGGGCCAGCTGTGCCTGGGCCGGTGTGGGCAGGGAAAGCTCCTCTGCACTGCAGGCTGGAGTCTGCCAAACAGATCTCAGTCAGAGTCGTGGGAGCCATGTGTCTGCAGAGGGCCAGGCCTAGGGGATGGCCAGTATGTGGTGGGCCCATAGGAACCTGCCCAGGTTCTGGGGAACCCAAGGACTACAGCAGAGGGGCTGTGTTGAAGCCCTGGAAGACTTGAAGCAAGAATATGACAAGACCACATCCCTCAATTCTCTCCTCCGGGCAAAGGTGACAAGCCAGGACCTCCCATCACTGCTGGGAAACGGTTTCTATTGTTGCAGAGCAGAAAGCTGGGGTTTGATCCTGTGGATGCTGGACTCCACCCCTGCCAGGGCTATGGAGGACCCAGGAGTCACTCAGAAGGAGCCTGGCTGAGCGGGATGGTGACAGCGGGAGGCGCCCAGGGGGAACTCCTGAAAGCTGGCTTTGTTGGGAGGATGCTGGTTTCCCTCTAGGGGACCTCCTCTGCCCGCCCTGCCAGACATCAATGGCATCAATGGCATGCAGTGGGAGGTCAAGGGGTAGCAGTGGGGCCTGTGCAGGCTGCCCAGGGTTGGGAGGGGTGGGAACATAACAGGTTGGCCTACGCTGGCCGATAGGAGAGAGAAACACCGGGCCCACGCTGGCCTCAACATGGCCATCACGGTAGTGACTGTGACCCCTGCAGGGCAGTGCCACAGGCCAGGCAGCCTTGCAGGTGCTTTACACAGTTTAACTCAGTCTCCGTGAGTCGCTGCCTCCCCATTTACAGACGTGGACATAGCCACCCAGAGGAGGGCTTTCCACCCAAGGCCACAGAGCACCGGCGGGACCTGAACCTGCTCTGACCCCATGCCAGCGTCCAAAGTGGGCTGAGCCCTCCCTGGAGAAGACACCGCTTAAGGACAAAGCAGGAGACAGGCTGGTGAGCTGGCGGCCAGGGGAGATGTGCAGGTGGAGGCCACCAGATGGGGGGGCCTTGGCCTGAGTCCCCAGTTCCCGGTTCTGTCTGTCCCTGCCTGGTGGTCAGCCCTGTTTCCTAGGAGAGACCACTGGAAACTCAGGGACTAAGCATCCGGAGTGTGGAGAGATTCAAGTCACGCCACGCAGGCCCAGTTCCTGCAGGCACCTGCCACACAGCAGCGCCCCCAACACCACGCTAGGTGTGCCTCCCCCCACCGCCCCGCTGCTCACCTGGCTTCATGGCACCCATGACGGCGCGGCAGCTCCGCAGCACCGCCTCGTAGACAGCCTTCTGGTCTGCAGTGAACTTGCCGTTGGCGGGAAAGGAGCAGGTGATGTCGGAAGCGAAGCAGTAATACTCACCGCCCATGTCGAACAGGCTGCGGAGATAGGAGGGCAGGGCAGGTGAGTACTGGGGCGCCACCACCCCTCTTACCCTTCCCGCTCCCCGCCTGCCCTGGATTCAAGGGCAGCTGTCCCGGGTCCTGGACGCAGCACAGGCTACTCCCCCTCACAATGAGACTGGTGTGGGGAACTGCCACCTGGTGTCTCCCATGGGTGCGTGGGCAGCAAAGAAACGCGAAGCCATCCTGGAAGACCTGTGTCTTCCAGGGAAAAAGGGGTTCAGGGCTCAGCCTGGGCAGGGAAGGCTGTGGGGAGCGGGGCTGTCCTATGCAGATGACCCCTGCCCCTGTGGCCTGGCCTCTGAGAGCTCAGCCGTGGAGACTTGCTTGGAGAACTGAGGAGGCAGAGATGCCCCAGGACCCCGCCCGCTGCCTGGCCTCCACCTGACACCCCAACAGGCCCTCCCAGGGTCTCCCTGCACCCAGCAAAGAGCACAGGCTGAGGCCGGGCTTGTGGGAAGAAGAGGAGGAGGGGGCTGGGCAGGGGCCCCGGGTGGGATGCACGGCCTAGAACTCGGGGCCTGAATTGCACCACATGCTTCTTCCGGGACCCAGAGCATTGGGCGGAAACTCAGTCGGCGGCTGGGGCCTCTAGCTCTGCTGCAGCTCTGGGGCCCCCTAGCTGGAGGGATGTGCCCGATACTACCCCTCTGCCCAAGGGGGTGGGACGGAGGAAGTGACAGCCTCATGTCCAGCAAGGCTTTCCCAGGGCCTGCTGGCCACACGCCCCTGGAAGCCAGGTGGGCCCCTCATCCTGTCCACCTGCACCCTGGCACCCTCCGGCGGCCGCAGAGACCAGCAGGATGCAGGCGGGGGCATGAAGAATGGGGCAGAGGTGCCGGCAGTCAAGGATGGGAGGGGCCTGGGGGCCAGCAGAGAGGCAGGACGGCATGGGACAGATGGCGTGGGATAGATGACAGGAGGCCTGCTGAGGCAGGAGGACGGTGGCTGGGGCTGCCCTCTGGATGCCCCGTGAGAGGGACCCTTGGCACAGCAGGGCCCGGGAGGAGTAGGGCCTGTCCTTGCTGTGCAGAGGACCTCGGGGCCCTCTCTGGGCAACGGCAGAGCAGCAGCCTCCCACTCATCCTGTGGTGTGTAAGGGACAGAATGTGGGAAAGGCTGCTGGATCCAAACCTGCCTCCCAGGACTTCCCGGAAGCAGCCCAGGTGGACAAGGCTGGGTCTGGCTGAGGGGCGGAGGGGCACAGGTGGTGCCCCTTTCCATCCCGTCCCCCCTAGGCACCTCCGGAGGCTGCAGGCAGCAGACACAGAGCGGAACCCTCGGGCCCACCAGCCCCTTCACAGGTCATGGCCAAGTCATGATGCTGATGGTGACGGCCCTGGCTGGGGGAAGCTGGTCCAGCCCTAGGACCAGAGCCCACCACGGCTGCAGGGTCCAGAACCAGAGGCAGGAGGGCCAAGCGCAGCCGCCCCTCTTTAGCTCCACCCTGGGCTTCCCATGGGGTCCATCTGTAGCCACGTGAGTCCTGACAAGTCTGAGGCCAGGGACACAGCCGTGGCTTCCATCATGAGGGCCTTTCACCCAAATCCCAGCTCTCACGGTAAACACAGCCGCTCCACAAACATTCCAGAAGCTGCCTATGTGCCTGCCTGTGGGGGGTCCTGTCCCATGGGAGGGAGCCAGGGGGTGGAGGAGCCTGGCCCCATGTGGAGCAAGGAGCAGGGCCACGTGGCCGGACAGGCAGCATCAGCCGCCCCACGGAGGCAGATTTCTAAAGGAAAAACTCGAATGCACGGCCAGGGCGCTTTGCTGAAATCCAAAGTCCCCAGCCGGGCACTTTTTAATCTCCTGTCTTTTCTGATTGCAAAACCTCATAAGCAGTGTCAACAGGGCAGAAAGGTCCAGATAACACCTCAGGTGACTCTCAGGGCTGGGGAGGAGCCCCGCCTGCACAACAGGGAGCTTCAGGGTAGGTCAAAGTCACAGGATCTCTGGATGCAGTGGGCTGCTTGGGCCAACAATTCCCTGGAAGTTTACTCCTGCACAGGACCTAGGCTTCCCCATGGCTGGCCGGGAGGGCAGGGCACATGGAAGCTCTAAACTGAAGGGAAACTGAGGCTCGGATCACGGGTCCAGGAAAGCCCTGAGTCAGGAGGGTAAACAACTCGGAGCCCAGCAATGAGTTCTTTGATCCTGGCTGCAACGCTCAGCCTTCAGGGCCTCAGTTTTTCCATCTGTAAAATGGGACCCTCCCACTGCTGTAGCTCTGTGTCCTCTTGGGGCCAGCAGTGGGGAGTGGAGCCGTGTGGACCATAGCCCAGTTTTGCCTGGGGACAGCTAAGCGTTTTCATTTAGGTTCCCCAGAGTCGACCAAGAAAAATGGATTGTGGTTTGTTGGTTTTACAACATGCAAGAATAGCCTGGGCAGAGAGGACAGGGCCAGGAGTATGGGGGACACGGATTCCTAGGAGGGGCCACATCAGAAGGTGACCTGCAGCAGCAGCCGGGGGAGAAAGTCCTACCGGACTGTGCTGATACAACAGGAAAGGCAGAAACTGAAGCATTGTTCAAAAAAAAAAAAAAAAAAAACACAAAAAACACAAAAAACAAAACAAAACAAAAAACAGGAAGCCCACAAGAATACCCCAAACGATGGAATCATCTAGGAGTGTAAAAACAAGACTGTTCTCCAGTGCAGACCAGACTCGGATCCCAGTTCCCCAAACTCTCGCCAGCAAAGCAGAAAGAACATGGGATGGTGGGTGCCTGGATATCATCCGCCAGCCTGACTTTATCTTCTAGCCTGTAGAAGACTGTAACTGCATTTTTTGTTTGAAAATGATCCGCTTTCTGGAGAGGGAAGTATACACCCAACCAGCCAGTTCCATCCCGCCCAGCGAGGCTCCGGTACGGAGCTGAAGTCTATTTTCGTGCTCCTCTCAGTTCCCTATCTTTTTCTGCCTTAAAAAAAAAAAAAAAAAAAAAAAAAAGGTTGAAAAGCTTTGAGTGAGCCGAGATCGTGCCACTCCACTGCACTCCAGCCTGGGCGACAAGGCGAGACTCCAAAAAAAAAAAAAAAAAAAAAAAAAAATCCCCCTAGAGTTTCTACACACATAAGTTATTCACATGCAAGCTTTTCTGAAATCCAGGGACGAAAGCCATGGCTTTGATAAATCATCTCCCTCCCGCTCCTCTGTGTCCACTTCATCCATCCTCTGAATGCAAACCGACAATGGAGAATTCGGTCATACGTTGGCTCAATCGAGAACAGGAACGCAGGATCCCTCCTTCCTGGCCGTCTGGGGACCCTACCATCTTTGGCCAAGTGAGTCTGTGATAATACAAGACATCTGGGAGACAGGACGCATCTCCAGGCAACGTGCTGGCGTTTCACTCCCCACATGTGTTCTAAGGGCTCTGTTTCTGGCTCCTTCTCGGTAGCTCTGGGCCCGGGCTACCTGCCACCATTGGCCCACCCAGACCCTCCCTGGGCCCCACGGCAGGGACCCGCCAGCCCACAGGCAGAAGGCCTCCAAGATGGGTCGGCCAGTGACAGCAGGCTTGGGAACAGTTTTCTGGGGGAAATGCTGCAATGTTTATATGAGAGTCACTTTGGACTTGGTTTGCAGTTTCATTTGAATCTCCTGAGTAGTGGCACAGCTCTTAGCTGTTCAATCCAACATTTTACACGCGCTCATATTCGGGCCTGCAGGAGCATTTCAGACTCCGACGTGCAGCTGCCCTGGTCGGTGTCCCAGGCCAGGCTGGGGGATTTCTGAGCAGCAGGAAGCCCTTGCTTCTCCTCAGTGTGAGACAGAAAGGAAGGCGTACGGGTCACTTTTCCCTTCGTCTGCTGCAGTGGGCGGCCCCTGCAGACACGGCGGCGAGCTGTGGTCTCCAGGGTGCATGGGCTGGCTGCCTGCTCCTAGCCAGGCCTTCCGTGGAGTGCCAAGCTCCAAGCATGGCCAGCAGGGGCAAAGGCCACCACTCGGAGTCCTTGAGGCTCCTCGTGCCATGGCCTAACCCACCAAGGGGACCTCTCTGCAGTGCCTTCCTGGGCGTCTCTGCTCCCTTCCCGTGTGATGGCCACTCCTCCAGGGCCTGGGCATACAGGAAAGCTGCCCGTGCCACCAGCCCATGACAGCAGCAGCTTCTGGTACCCAGAGCCAGCAATCCCTGGTGCACGCGGTGGGTGACGGGAGCAGCTGCATGCTGTGGGCCTCCTGGGTATCCGGAGGGAACTGGCATTGCCATTTTACACATGACGTGGACAGAGGCACGGCACCAGCAAGGGTCCAGGGTCCCAGAAGAGCACTGTGGGGTGTCTTGCCGAGAGGTGGGTGAGACACAAGGACAGCTGCCAGGAAAGCACAGTGGGGTGAGGCCCGGGCGTCAGGGCAGTGGCCTTGGCAGGCGGGAGGGAGAGTCACACGCACAGCACATGCTGCATTTTGCTTTTTTTGGTGACCAGTGTCTCATGATGTCTGGGAGCACCCAGGCCGTCTGGACAAGTGCTATTCAAGCTGTGGGTCATGACATCAGCTGAGGGTGCAGCCACAAAGCACAAACAAGAGACAAACTGAAAACACGTGGGCAGGTGTCAGCTCATAACCAGGCCTGTCCACGTGTGTGAGGACAGGTGAGAATGGAGAGCATGCTGCTAACTGGGATGGAATGGAACAGCCACGCCCGTGGGTCTGGACCCTCCGGAAGGCATTCTATGGCCCCCAAGAGCATGTCTTTAAGACTGCAGAGTGCTCAGGGCAGGGCTGGCTGGTGACAACAAGCCTCCCTCGGAGGAAATAGGAAGGCGGTGGGAGAGGGCTGGGATGGGCCGGGCAGCAGAGAGCAGGCCTGGGGACAACACTGTACTCTGGAGCTCCCCAAGGTACCGGGCCCCAGGTGGAGCAGGGCGAGGGGGTCCCCAGGAACTTGCCACCTGTGGGGGCCGCAGCGCGATGGTGGCAGACAGACGCAGGCTGAGTAGACAGCAGGAGTGAGTAGGATCGCCGCATCCCAGGCTACAGGGCCCATGTGAGGCCAAGGTGGCTGCTGAGGTCCTGGGTGAGCGGGCACCCCACAGCCTGCAGAGGTGAGGGCTCGCCATTATCTAGACAGGGAAGGAGGGGAAGAGGGCCCTGGTGGCTGCTGAGTGTGAGGGCTGGCACAGGTGTCTCTGCCTAGCCAGGCTGGCCACCCACCCCCCATGCCCAGGAGCAACACAGAAGACCAGATCCAGCAGGGGTGAGGCCTGGCCTACCATCCTGAGACAATGCTGCCCTCTTCTGGCCAGTGCTGGAAGGACCGGCTCACTGCCCACCCGCTGCATCCTGACTGGGGCAACCAAGGCCTGGGGCATTCTGGGACACGTGCTCTAGAAACTCTGCGAGGGGCCACAGTAGGTTAAGACCCGTCCCCCAACCCACACCACCTGAGAAGTGAGGGAGGCAGGAGGAGTGTCCCAGCTGCTTTCCCAACCAGAGCCCTCCACCTCTGCCCTGTGGGGTGAGCCTGCCGGGGACCTGGGGAGGCCTCAGGCCTGGAGTGCTGCGAGAGGTGGGCCCTCCCTGGACGCACTGCTTCCCGGAATCACGGACCATGCGCCCCCTGCCCCAGCTGCAAAGCGTGCTGGCCTGCAGTGGCTCTGGTGCCCACAGCCCAGGCTGTTTGTGGAAGGAAGGGGCAGCACACAGGGGCTCAGAAGATGACCAGGAGGAGCAGGGGGATGAGTCCTGGTCACCTCTGTGCTCACACAAACCTGCTAGGGGCTGGACTGAGTGGGGAGGGGTCTTCTGGGGCCTCCCACTTAGGAAACGCCTCAGTGACCTCAGGCGCCTCGCTCTGTGTGACCGTGCAGAAAGTTAACTAGCAGGCGTGCTGCGCTTTTGTAACCCTGTTCTTGAAAGTCTGCCCGGGTGCTTTAAAAAGGAAAACAAAAAGCAGCGAATGGCCCCTCTGATACGGTGACTTGGAGATGGGGTTCATGGTGAACCCCAGGGTCGCAGCAGGAAAAGGCTCTGAGAACAACAGCAAAACCCCCAGAGGCTTGGTGGCTACAGGCCCCACATAGGGCCGCTTGGCTCTGAACCAGGCCGAGAGGATGTGCAGCCACCACAAAGTCCCACCCCTCACCCCTGCCTGCATGCGAGCGGGTGGGGCGGATCCCGCCCAGAGAAGTGTGAAGGGGCCCGGGGGTGGCTGGCTGGGGGTAAGGGACGGCCCTCAGGATGTCTGTCTCAGTCCTTGGCTGACAAGCCTGACCTGAAGGAAAAACCAGGGTGTCTGGATCACAGGCCCTCTCGGGCCATGACTGTGGCCAACAGTGGACTCAGCCTAGCTCCAGGGAAGCTGCTGGAAGGGTAAAGGATGGAGGAGTGGGAGGGGGGCCTAGCCAACCCCAAACCCCACTTGGCACACACATCATGGAGGACACTTTTGGGCTGAAGACACAGAACAGGACAGCCACGGGATGGGAGGTGTCTGAGAATAAACCAGGCCTGGTCCGAGCTCTGCCTATGGCTCGCACCTCCAGCCTGTGCTGCAGAAGCAGCTGCTGGAAGTGGGCATCAGGGCCTGGCCTGCCCAGCTCAGTGAGGACACCGGGGCTGCCGCTCTCGCCCGAAGAGGGCCCACGCTGTGCTAGGTGGCCCCTGCGAGACAGGGAGGCAGGGGCTTGCCCCGTGATCACTGCCACGCAGCACGGCCTCGGTCAGCATCCTGTGTGTGTATCCATGTGCGTGAGTGCTGGGGGAGTGCTCGTATCTGGGACTGTGGAGAGAGGATTGGAAAAGGCTGGTCTCCCCTTAGTATCCCCAACCCTTCTCCAGTACAGCTGTATAATCTGGCTGCCCTGGACTGGCTCTGATTCCCTGCAAAATCCCATTCCTAGAAGCTAAAATATCTCTGGGGTATCTTCACCCAGTCAAAGGACTAAAACCTAGAGCAGGCCACTGCAGCAGGTGCGCTGCTCTGGGAGGCGCTCGGCTTCAGGGGGAATTCTATGCTGGGCTCATGCTTTAGTTTCATACCTTAGGATGAAGTATCGTGGCTTTTATGTTGGGATAACAGAGTGATTTCTTATTTACCGAACGCAGTAGGCGCTTGGCAGATCAATTTCAATACAACAATGGATTATAAATGCCGCCAGCAATCTGGCAGTAGCAGTAATCAACAAAACATGTTGTTCTAAATGCTGCATAATAAATTGACTACAATAAACTCATAATTATTCTACTGGCTACATTTCAAAGTCAGCACTAGAAAAATCAAATCACCAATTTGGACTTGGCATTCACATCCTCGGATCACTCCTGCCTTTACAGCTGCAGCCGGGAGATGCAGGTGCCATGTGCTGTCCCAGAGGGCCGAGGCCACAGCGCCTGGGATTAGCCTCTCACAGGGTGAGGACCCTCTCTGGGGCAGATAAAGAGGGTCATAAAGGAGCAGCCACTTCCTCTGGGGTGTGCTGAGCCCACAGAGGAGAAAAGCTCATGGCCACGTGGCTCTGGCACAGGGCTCTCCAGCCACCCAGAAGTGCCTCCTGGGCTGTGGGGACCCACTGGTGTGGCTGGGTGCCTGCCTCTGCCCTGAGACTGGGTTCCCATGTCCTGTCCTCCTGGCCCAGCCAGAATGGGCTACAGGGTTAAAGAGCGTCGGAAAAGGTTTCAGGGCTGGGCACCGTGGCTCACATCTGTAATCCCTACACTTTTGGGAGGCCGAGGCAAGAGGATCACTTAAGCCCAGGAATTCCAGACCAGCCTGAGCAACATGGTGAGACCCTGTCTTTTTAATATTAAAAATAAAAAAATTCACTGGGCATGGTGGCTTGCACCTGTAGTCTCAGCTACTTGGGAGGCTGAGGTGGGAGGATCACTTGAGCTCAGGAGTTCGAGGCTGCAATGAGCTATGACTGTGCCACCGCACTCTAGCCTGGGAGACAGAGCAACACTGTGTCTTAAAAAGAAAAGTTTCAGGAGGAGGGCAGGTGGTCTCTGGAGCCACTGGTGGGTCCACGGTATGGGGGCAGGGCTGCCACCCTCTCCTGCTCTAGTCCCCTGCTGAGCCAAGTCTGAGTTTCCCAGTTCCTTCCCTAAGTGCCTCTGGCCTCAACTGGGCCTGGTGCCCTCCTTGTGTCTGAGTTCCTTGGCCCACACATGGGGCGAGGTGCCTACATTGCAGGATCAGGGTGAGGAGCGGGTGAAAAAATCCACAGAGACGCAGAGGGAGGGCACGGTCACCTTGGGGCCCCAGGCTACGTGTAGGAGGAGAGCTGAGCTCTGCTTTGACCCTCCCAGCCCCAAGCATGGTGGGTGCCCAGCCCCACTGTTTGTGGGGCTCACTGTGGTGCCAGACTGAACCAGGATCCATGGAGCCAGTGCTGTCAGGCAGGCCAGGGAGTCCACTGAGACCCAGCGCGCAGTGGGCAGCAGTTCCACTGGCCTGCCTCCGTTTGCCCCCTCAACCTGCCGTGTTCCTAACACAGCCCTACTGCTGTGGCATGTGCTGGCCCCACCCAAGGGCGAGCTGGGCTCCTGTCAGCGTGGCCCGAGCTGGAACAGCTCATCAGTTATGGACCTGGGTGAGCAGGGAGCTCGGGCAGTCTCAGCAGGCCATGGGCCCAAGGGCAGGGAGGACCCCGAGACTCAGTGTGTTCCCACAAATACTCGGCCCTGACAGTTCAACGCTCGGTGGCTCTCTGGGCAGCTGGTTGTCTGTCCGTAGGTCTGGGCATGTACGTTCCTGTCCTTCAGTGGGCATGTCTGGGGATTCTTGGGGATGGGCTCCCACCACTACCTGCCGTAGGGCGAGGCGGGATCCAGGCCCGTAAGCAGCCATCGCAGGAACTCCTGCTGAAGGAGCTGGCACACTGGGATGGCTCCTTGATGGGGAGGCGGAGGCAGCCCAGCTGGGCACGACGCAGTCCTGAGAGGACACACCACACTGCTGGGGGGCAGAGGGCTTTGCGGGAGGCTTGTTCAGGTGCATCCGCCATAGAAGAAAGGGCACCAAAGAACCGGGAGGGACGAGGCACCTCCTCTGCTGGTCAGAGACTACGGTGAAATGTCTGGAGACCAAGACAGGGCCTGCGTGGGACCAGGACCATGGCCAAGACAGAGCCACGGTCCCAGCATTGGGGCAGCTCTCAGGAGCTCTGCATTGCCTAGGCTGGCCCTGGTTGACATCTGGACGTGCAGGGGACAGGCAAAGAACATGGAGGGACTGAGCAGGGGCCAGGCTACAGGTACTCACATACCCCTTCCCTGCCCTGGGGCAGCCCAGCTGCTCTGTCCTGAACACTGAGGGGCTGTGGGTAGGACTGCAAGTCCTCCAGTGAGAGAAGAGCCTACCCAAGGAGGGGAGGCCACAGGGCCTGCCCACATCTCTGTCATGGCTTCTGTGAAGAGCTGTGAGCACAGCAAATTGTGCTCAGGAAAGCCCTGTACACAGCCGCAGGTCAGCACCGCCGACTTGCTGAATGCAGGGCCGCACAGGCCATGGGCTCCCGCGGCAGGAGGATGGCAGGTTTCAGAGCGTGGGAGGTTCCCGGGGGTCTTCCCAGCTCCAGACCAAGACATAAAGATGTGAGCGTGATGTCCCCTAAACAGAGAGGACAGCCTGGGCAGAGGCTGGGGATGGTTCAGGCACCCTCAGAGAGCCCACAATCCCAGGGCCCACAGGAAACCATCGGTGGGGGGCCCCTCTCCTGCGCCCTCTCTCTCAGTGCTCCCTGAGGTGGTGAACGCTTTTGGCCCTGGAGAAGGCACCACGCAGCCCGATGGCCTTGGCAGAGAAATCTGGGCCAAGAGGCCCAGGGACTTGCTGTGGTCAGCCCTCTCAGGACAGGGACCCAGAGGCTTCTGGTCCATCTTGAAGCTGAGTCCAACCTTGGCCTGGCTGTTCACACACAGAGCCAGGGCCAGTGGCCCTACTTACCACATGTCCCCATTCTGGATCGTTCGGTCGTTGGGGGCCCCAGCATGTCCGTAGTGAAGCACGGCTGAGTTCTCACCACTGCAAAGAGCCAGGGGAGGGTGATCAAAGCCCATTCTTATGCAGCAGGCTCTGGAGGAGGGGATGGATGCCCAACCCCCTGCCCATGGGCAGCACTGTCCCTACCTCCAGCAGAGGCCCAGGCATGGCTGGACCAGGTCCACAGCCAGAAGGGAGGCTGGGGGACATGGTGGCCCTGTCACCCCGTAGCCACATGGCTGGCAACCAGCCTCAGTCTGTGGCAGAGCCTCCCGGCTGAAAGCGTGGTTAGGCAGCTGCCCTCTGGGCTGGGATGTGGGCATCACGTGGAGCACACGTAAAGCTTAGCAATGGGCTGGGTGTGGTGGCTCACACCTGTCATTCCGGTACTTTGGGAGGTCAAGACGGGTGGATCATTTGAGCCCACGAGTTTGAGACCAGCCTGGGCGACATGGCGAAACCCCACCTCTACAGAAAATGCAAAAAAATTAGCCGGGTGTGGTGGCTCACACCTGTAATCCCAGCGACTCAGGAGGCTGAGCTAGGAGGATCACCTGAGCCTGGGAAGTGGAGGCTGCAGTGAGCTATGATCATGCCACCGCACTCCAGCCTGGGCAAAAGAGGGAGACCCTGTCTTTAAATTTAAAAAAGAGCAAAAAGGGAGAAACAGCAGTTCCTGGGCCTGAAGAAGGGCCCTACGGAAGCCCTCCTTTCCTGGTAGCCAAAGGGGAGAGGGCCTGTGGAAAGGGACCCGGCCGTCCTGGAGCCGCCCTGGCATCCTGACTGGGCTGCAGAGACAGGAAACCAAGAGGCTCCTCGCTCCTCTGCCCGAGGTGGCTTCCCTAATGAGCGATGCCTTTAAGAAAAAAAGGACTTAAGTCTGTCCAAAGTGGGGGAAAAAAATCCCACCTGGGTGTAATATTTATGGCCCTGCTCAGAAGCCTCGGGAATCATAAAAGTAGAAATAATGATTTTCTCTCCATCCACCAGAGGAGAACATTTCCAAGGACTGAGATGTTCACATGTATTATTCATGTGCCAGGGACGTGCACACTGGCAGAGCTGCCCGGCTCCATCCTGGCGGGGCAGGGGCCAGACTCGAGGGGCAGAGCCCGGGCAGAGAGCAGCGAGATTGGCTGGGAGAGCCCAGGAGATGAGGGGTCCACGCCCACAGCCAGGATGCATGTGGGGGCAGACACACCCAAAGGGACACACGCTGCTGTGCACGGCCCGGACAGCATGGCAGTGATCCCGTATCACGGTCATTTCTACCATGTGTGTGCCTCCAAGCACACCCAGCCATGTGTTGATGGCACACACCCAAGCACACACACACACCCACACAGAGCTCTGCCCCTCGCCACCATGTGCCATGAGCAGGCACACCAACAGTGACATGCACACCCACATATAGCAGCACTGGTCCCCATGCAGCCACACCCACACACGGACACACTGCCACCACTTTCTGCACTGACCCTTCCACACGCCACCCCTGCCGCACACAGAAGCTGCCCAGCCTGAGCTCACAGCCCGGTCCCCACACGGTCTATGTGTGCCCGTGTGGAGGAGCGGCCTTCCTGTGCTTAGCTGCTGTGCTGACCAGCTGGGGACAGGAGGGAGGGGATGCCAAGCAGCCTCTCTGCAATGGGCAAGCCATGCTCCCTCCTTCACCCAGTGCCAGGCCCTGCAGGCAGAGGTCATCTCAGCTCCTGGAGTCTTGGGAGCGAGGAGCGACTTCCAAGCTTGGGCCAGGCACTGGTGTGGGCGTGTGAGTGAGCAAGTGTGGCTGAGCTGGGGGATGGTGGAGCCCCCCACTCACTAACTGCCCTACCTCCTCCCACTGGTCACCCCCAGGGGAGCCAGGGTGCCCCACTTACCTGCCGCAGATGCAGGTGTAGGAGCTGTGGCGCATGCCGCCCCGGGAGTAGCAGTAGTGCTCGAAGAGGCTGCAGGGGGAGAGATGCGTTAGGGTGGGGACATTAGAGCAGGTATACCCCACTCCACAAGCCCCATGAACCCCAAGAGAAGGCCCTCGGCCCATGTCCTCCCCTGCTGTGGCCCCAAAATGGTCCAAACTCTCAGTGTGAGTCTGTGAGGCTTACAGCCTGGGGGTCAGTCACAGGCTGCAGAATCTGAGGCCAGTGTGGAGTGACGGGGAAGCTGGGGGCCCAGCAGGGTGCAGCCATGTGCCGGAGGAGCTCGCCAGCCTCCCCTGCCATGGCGAGTGGCTTCCCAGGCACATCAGGACAGATGGGACTTCCGGAGCCTGGGCCCTGGGGGAAGCCGGGCTGGGGCAGAGGTCACACATTTCTGCAGAGTTGGAGGAAGTGATTCACTAGGACTCTGTGCCCAGTGGCCACCACCCACCCTGCCAGGAGGGGCTGGATGCACGGCCTGTGCTCACCCGGGGAGAGGGCACAGGAGCTGTGGGCAGAAGGGGTGAGGGACAGGCCTCCTGCAGGTGGGGCAGAGCAGGGTGGTCCTCAGCGATGTGGGAGAGGCAAGGCCTGGGGCACACATCCTGCTTCTCCCTCCTTGGAACAAGCCACATGCTCGCTGGGCCCCCTCCACAAGCTCCCACCCTGAGCAGGTGGGGCCACAGCCAAGTCTGGAGAGAAAGACAAGCCCCGGTCCCCAGACTGAGCCCAGAGCCAGCACCGGGGAGGCCTCCAGGACGGCGGATGGTAGCACAGTCGCTGCATGGGTCTTTGAGCTCCAAGGGACTGAGTCATTCTGCCCTGGTCTTTCTCTGCAGAACCCAGCTGGTGAGGGGTGTGGTGGTGGGGAGCTGCCCTCACCCCCTCCCTGAGGCCTCCGCAATAGCTTTCCTGCCAGACCACAGCTGGTCCACCTGCCACCAGGTGAGGTAGGCCCAGGTGGCCCCCACCTGCCCACCCCCAACCAGGGCAGTCACTGCGGCCGCCCGAGGGCACGCCACGTGGCGGTCCTGCCCTGCACATTCCAGTCCTGCCTTAGAGAACGTCCATACGGGGGAGTTTCGTCTTCTAGGCACTGTCAACACAAATTACGTATAATTGTCATGATTGGGTATTAAGCAGTTGTTATGCAGGAATGGCTGTGGTAGATTCAATCGGCTTTCAGACTTGCCTTCCAAACCTCACAGGATAATTGGGTATCTGTGAGTGAAATATTTCCTGAAAATAAAGGATTTCAGGAACTGCCAGGGAGGCAAGGAAGCCACATGCTCCCCTCCTCAGCCGCCCCCAGCCCCCAGAATTGGTGGTGCAAGCGCTCAGGAGGCCGCTTCCACCTCCTGGGAGTCTCAGCGCTGAGTTTCGCCACAGTCCAGGCACGTTCCTACCAAGGTGGGCAAGGCCAGTGCCCCATGTGGCAAGCCCTGTGTGTCAGGCCAGAGAGGCGGCCTCAGAAGCCACTGCACACCTCTGTGGCGCCCTCCCAGACAGCCCAAGAAGAGGCCTGACCGACGCCGTCGAACAGGGATGCTCCCTTGGCTCTGGGAGACGGGGTCCTGCACCGACAGAAGTGAAGCTCGGGGGTCACATGGTCATTCTCGATGTGATGGGGACAGAGGGCCTCTGTGGGACAAGTGACCTGCAGACAACCACGGGCTGCACTGGGACTGGCTGGCTTCAGAAAAGACAGGCAGAGGGACAGAGACGCCACCTGCATGTACAGAGGAACTCACATATTCTACAACAAAGGAGAGGCAGGCTGGGCACAGTGGCTCACACTTGTCATCCCAGCACTTTGGGAGGCCAAGGTTGGAGGACTGCTTGAGGCCGGGAGTTCAAGACCAGCCTGGGCAACACACTGAGACCCCATCTCTTAAAAAATCAATCAATCAATCAATCAATCAATACAATAAAAAAAATCAGAAAGGGGAGGCAGTGAGGAAACTTGGCTCTCTCGCCTGCAGCAAGCTTCCCCCTGCATAACCCACTCAGTGGAGACAACTGTCTCTGAATGCCTTTGCTGCTTTTTAAGAAAAAAATAGTACTTTCACGAAGGCACAGCTCACAGAAGCATCAAACTAAAGAAAGGCTGACCCAGTTTTCACCTGCAAAGTGCGGCCCGACACTGGTCACCTTTGCCAGCCACGTTGACAACTCCACACACTATTCCACACGAAGGAGCTGGAAAGAGGAGGAGCACCACATGCTGGATATTCACGCTAGCCTGTAAGAGGCTGAAATGCTTCACACTGGACTTCAGCCCTGAATTTTGTTTTAAATGACCTTTTCTGACACAACTTGAGGACACACTGGTGCTTTGGTGGCAATAACTGGTGGGCAAAACGAGCCCACGCTTTCTGCAGACTTTGGGCTTGGGGTGTGGACGCACAAGGGCACCCAAGTTCTGGGCAGATGTGGCGGCACAGGGGCCTGTGGATACATGTGAGCCCGGCACAGTTTTAATCTTCAAGGGGTGCACGCTGAGGGGTGGACGCTCCAAACCGCGGCTCATGCTTCATGCGGAGGCAACGTGCGGCCCCCGCACAGCTGGGCCAGAGCTCGGCGAGTGGTGCTGGTTTGACCAGGACCAAGTGTGGGCTACGAGGACAGGCTGACAGCCTGTTCCACGGATGGCCGACATGCCATGGCAGCGGCAGCATCACAACTCCTCCAAGTGCGAGGCAGGAGGGGTCCAGCCAACTCATCCCTGGAGCACGCTAGCTACTACCCACCCAAAATAATTAACACCCGGAACAGGCTCTCCAGCAGAGGGCAGCAGCCAGCAAGACAGGCAGGAGTGCCACCGCCCCTCTGCAACCATCTCCGCAGGCTCCGTCCATAAATTTGTGACTCACACGTGCAGCCCATGCAGCCCGGGTCCAGCTGGGTCTAACAGCTCCTGTTCCCTCCTGCTCACCTGGAAGGCGGATGGGGTGGTGCACACACCCCAGCTAGGCTCAAGCCCAGCGTGCACCTCCTCCCCAGCAGCAGGAGGGGGCTTCCTGATTGGCTGAGAGGAGGCCGTGGTCTGCCTAAGTCCCAGCAAGGACATCCTGGCTGCCGTGTGGGCCCCGTTGTTTTTCCTTATGTGGCCATTCCTCTAACACCTTCGCCTATAAATTTCTCCCAGGCAAGACTCGGGTAGAAGAGGCTTGTATCCAGGCCTAAGTGAGAGAGCCCTTAAGCAACCAGGGGGAATCTAGGTGAGTGGTGAATAATGAGGTGGATGGAGTTACTGCAGTGTCAGGGGGGCAGGCACATCTGTCAGTGCCAGGAGATGACAAATGGGGCAGGAGCAGCAAGTTCCCAGACCCAGATCTGCAGGAATGGGGTCCCCAGAGACCGTGTCGCTGGGCCTCCCGCTGGGACCCACAAATCCAGCCCGTGGAGCGCTCCCGGGCACATGGCCCAGCTCCTGCCCTCAGAAGTTTATCACCTAACATGAAGACGGACCACAGTCCTATAAAAATGCTGCAGCTGCCCAGACAGCGGTGGAAGGGCTGCCTGGCAGCAAGTGTCGACCAAGCTATGTGCCTCCAGCACGGGTGGGGTGGTGCCGAAGAGGTCAGTGAGGCGGTGTAAGGGGCGGCCCAGGCCACATCATTCCCTTTCCCCGGCTGGGCCTCAATGGATCTCAGGTACTCAAGAGGTGGAGCGGGGAGGCTGGGCCGGGAACAGGAGCTTGGGAGCAAAAATAGGCAGAGCTAGTGAAACCCCCTCAGTTGGGCAGAGGGCTTAGGAAAGCAGGTAGTCGGGACATGGGGTTACAAACCTGAGGTGGGGAGAGTGTGTTCCGCACCCCAGCCCCTGTGCTGGGCTCCCTGCTGTGGGCCCCACCTACCCAGCCTTCTGGGACTCAACACCAACCTCAAGGGCAAATCTTGGCTCTGCTGCTGGCCAGCTGAATGGCCTCTCCGTGCCTCAGTTTCCTCATCTGTAAAATGGGGATGATACTGGTGCCTCCCTCCCAGGGCTGCTATGTCAGTCAAATGATTTAACATACATGGAGTATACAGAATAGTGTTTGGCACCCAAGGAGCTCTGTGTACAGTGACCTAGCCATCGCGGTCACTGTTCAGAGGCCTGGAGGGAGCCTGGAGAATGGGGAGTCCCTCCTCAGGCAGCAGGAGAGGAGGTCGTGGGCATCCTGTGCCAGGCGTTGAGAAGCAGCCTCTTGACTATTCCTTTAAAACCAAAGAGAATCTGCATAGGTCCACGGCCCGGACACCCACTCCCGCACCCTCCAGGCAGCCAAGTTCTCTACAGAAGTCCTTCCCGGGCCCACACACTCCCAGCGTCTCCAGAATGTTCACCAGCGAAAACGCGGAGGTGTGTCCTCTGCACCAGCTACTGGGACACATGCGCACAGACAGGCTTCTGGCTGGACAGAGGGCGCCTGTGCCCACCATCCCTTCATGGCTGCCCCTCACCCTCACAGAGCTGACCCAAGGTTCCCACCTTCCCGGGGTGGGCCTGGGACGTGTAAGAGAGAGAGAGCCACAGAGGGTGAGAAGTACCTCCTGATGTTTGGGGCCAAGCAGTTATGCTGTGTACAGCTGTCTCAGCACTAAGTTGCTTATAATTCACATTCATTTATTTTAGGTAATTGCTGCAATATTTTCTGGGTATACATAACCATAATTGTGTAATTAACGTGATACACCAGTTACTAAAGGAAAATCCTTTTCAGAATAAGGGCCATGCAGTCCTGCAAGGAACGCCCTGAGACACCTGGGGCCGAGCAGAGGGTGTCTTACGGTCCCCAAAGTGGGAGCAGCCACTATGGAGGACTTGGAGCCAAAACCGGATGTTTCTACCGGTGGAGCCCCGGCATAGTTCCTTTTGCATGCAACCAGAAGCACGTGCTACATTCTTCTTGAATTCCCATGGAAGGAGGGGAGCTGCTCCACGCCCTTCTTCTGGGGTGACCAAGTGGGTCATCAGAAGACACAGGCGAAAGCGCCCAAGCCCTACCCTTGGAATCGCCGCCTGGGTGGTACCAGCGACCTATC